GCCAAGTTTGGACAACACTGATTTACAGGATTTGTATGGCTGCCTATTTCATATATTGATTCTAGGTGGCTCACAATAATCCATAAAAACAAAGTTAAAAACATAAATACCCCTTCCCCCAGGCGCCAGATCAAACAGCCTCCCAGTTCAACTCCAGTTCAACTACCAGCGTTAGCACCCTCTTTTACCACCTTTGATAATAATGTTTCAGAAAGATCAACAGGAAAATCCCTTTGAAGCTATTTTCAGTTTCAATGGGGAAAAAATGCATTGATTGATGAATTGTAATTGGTTGCTTCCAACCCTCCCCCTCCCTGACACACATGCTGTGGTAAATTTTTATATAACAAGAAGAAATATTAGAAAATGGATTTATTATTAAACAAAACATTCAGGCATGCAAAATATGGCATTGCAAATTATGATTAATGGCAAATCTGCCAAGAAATCCTTGTTTGTGTTATCTGTCTACCAAGTTCAGGCCCCAGCAAATTTTGCACAAATAGAATCCCACTTTCTAAGTAAGCAGCTACTTAACTTCTCATCAAGAAAGCCTTCTGCATAATGTAAAACAAATCACGGAATGCATATTATCCCTTCTCCACAAGAAGATTGCCATCTATGTTTTTAAAACCTGGAAGTGTTTTTGTGCTGAGAAACACTGGAACACTTTGGATATTTTTCAGCGCATATTTCTTGGTATATAAAAAAGTTCATCTTCAGATGAATCGAGAAAACAAGCTGAGGACAGGCCAAGAGCCATCATCATTTGCTGCAGATTTTCCTAAGAGGGACAAATGTAGATTCCAAAGCATCCAGGAAATTGTCAGGGAGGCTGTCTTTGTCATCTTCTGGAACAAGCAGGGACAATAAAGATTTGGATTTCTCCAGTATTCCTTCCTCTGCATAAGTATGAGGCCTATAATAAACCATATTGTCCTCCAAGTTTGTGATGTCATTACATTTCTGAGAAGAAAGGAAGAAAACATTCAGACTAATCACCTGCTTATTTACATGTGTATTTAGGTATAGTTAAGGCCCAAGGAGGCCTTTTAAGGAGGTTCCCAATGTAGCATTGTGAGGAAATGAAGTTGGGACTGCTCTCTGCACTTGAGAAAAACAGCTGCAGCCAGGCAGAAACACTTCCCACCCCCACTTCCCCAAGGCTCAGTACAGCTCATGCTTTTTCTCAGAAACTTGAGAGGAGATGGGCTTATTCATTCATTCACTCATTCCCCCACTCACAGTTTACTCACAAGCATCCATACTGGCATCCCAGGTATCTGGCTACTTGAGCCACACCCTGGCCTTTTCAGGAATATGGCAGCCTCACCTCACCCAGGCCCTTAGCCCACAAAAGTGTGGGTGTGTAGGAGAAACAGAGATAAGGAAAAAGCAAGCAGACGAGGAAGTGGGAGGCGACATCTGGAAATTTACTATTACAGGCTATCAGTCAACTGCCAGGACCATAAGCTACAGTAAGCAGCATATCCTGGTGGGACTCCTGCCTGGAGCTTGGCTTGGGAACTCAACAGCAACCATGCTGAAGAGCTTGGAGAGCGTGGAGTTTGGCCTGGAGCTCGGTAGCAGCCAGAAGAGGAGGAACCACACTGGGGCAGCATCTCATCCCAACGAGAGCAAGAACTTTTGGAGGAAGGCAAAGGTTGTATGCCACTTTACAGATTTTGAGGCTTTCATTTTAAGGACTGAGTATTAAGGATGTAGTTATGTGGCTACATCAATTTGCAAGGCTTAGGGGGGTGGAGTTAATGCAGAGCAACAGCCTACTGTTGGGGAAGGTGTGTGTCACAATAAAGCATTGTGTAGAGTTATCTGCTATGCTACAGTCTCCACTCCTTGGAAAAAAGGAACCCTCACAAGCATCATTGTAAGACAGTTTAGATACTTTAAGTACAAGTCCTCTAAAAATAATTCCATGGGAATGCCACAATGGTTAAAGTTACAGCCTAATGCAGCATGGACTAGTGTTATTGCCAATTAAAAGTAGTTATAAAGGAACACAGTATTACAGTCCATTGAAACCACCTTGAATGAAACAAAATATATTCTGAACTAGAAGAAGATTCACAATTACAGAACCATCCCTAAGAATAAATCAGGGAGGGCAACATATAAGGGCTGATGTTGCCTGAATGGGTATTACTCTCTTAAAATAAGATGGCACACTGATCCATTGAAGAACTGCCCTCCCTAAATCTTGCTTGCTGCTCAGCTAAGAGTTTCTCCTCCTCCAGTCAATCCAATAACATAATACAAGAAGCAGGGGTATCATTTACAAGACACATTTAATGCATGAAGGGCTTGTGCTGTTCCCATTCTTAAGGTTGGAACAGTTATCAGTTATTGATTGGATCCAGCCACCTAACATTTGGAGTATATTGTTGAGTTGAGGAAAAAGAGAGGCCAAGACTGGGCCCCCAAAATCAGCATTTCCCTTCGGTAACTCTGGAGGTATGAGGTCACCACCAGGGGGGTTTCCCACTTTTCAGCTGGCTCACTGCTTTAACAGTGCGGCCAGGGAGGGTGCTGTGTGGCACCTCATATGGAGAATGGCAGATGGAAAGAGGGGAGCTATATGGTGCTCTATAGAAGTCTTCCCATCTAGCAGCTGGAATCCTAACCTCCAAGCACTGAATCTTTTCATGTGATAGGCAAGTACTTCACTTCCAGATAGGCATGTATTTTTATCTTTCACAGCCTGAAAGAAATCACTCCCAATGTATTTCGGCAGGAAGACCACTAGGAAATCTCAGGTCTGTAGGTCGAGCCCATACTCAAAACATATTCTACGTTAGGTAGTTCAAAGTATTTGGAAAAAGAAAGCCCTGGTTTGCCCCCCAGTCACTTACTCGTTTCAAGAGAACAGCTACTGTTTCCAAAAAGTTATCCTGTGAATTCTTCCTGCGTGTTTTATTGTACCGATGATTCCAGATGTCCAGCTACAGAAAGGAGGAAAAAAGGAAACTTCACAGTCACTCCCATCTTAAAATCCATCCAGAAGGTTTTACCACTTTGCCTTCAAACATATATTGGCTAGCCACCTATTCTAAACTGATGCATCCTATTAGAAACAGTAGGAGATGTATTTAATTATATAATACAGAGGTGGACAATTTCTTGGTCCCCCTCCTGAGACCGCCAGAACCTGCTCCAACTTGGCAGCCAAATTTCAGTTTCCCTGATTGTGGGTCATTTTGAGGCAGAAAACACTTAGCATAGGCTTAGTGCCATTTTAAAACAAAAAAATCCACTCCCCCAATGCAGAAAAGGGCAATGCCAGCCCTGGTTCCCATCCATAATGCAGTCCCACCTACTTTGCGGCTCTCAAGGACTCAAAAAATAATTATTTGCCTACCCATCTACCAATAAGTTTCCAATCCCAATTCAAATGGTTTATCTAACCTGCTTCCAAGCGTTGATAGTGTAAAAGGGTGAAGTTACACTTCCAGTAGGATGTTGGTGATTTTCTGTATGCTTCACTGGCATCGCCCCCGAGACATTCTTTAGGGGGAAAAAGGGAATACAGAACTTATAACGAATCAAATTACAACACATTTTTTAATGTTTGGATATTGTAGGATCTAGAATCATTGGAAGGATTCCCAATAAAATCTGTATCTTCCTGAAGTCCATCTCTCCAAGGCCAGTCCTTTTTGACAGCAGAATAGCTATGACATTTGTCTTCTTCTCACCCTCAATCATGATGGGTCAGAGCAAAGGCCAGGGGTATCTGCAGATGATACCTCTTTTCAAAATGTTGAAAGCAGTGTCACACCACAATCCCACAAGCTCCACCTCTTTGGGGCACACATGTGATGTCACAACACACATACCAAAGGTGTGTATCTTGCATCATGATGGCACGATCCTACTTTTGTCCTTCTGCCCCTCTCTGACCATTCCTATGGTTGCTGCTGCTAAAGGCCAAAGAAATTGATAGGTACTTTGAACATTCTACAAACGTGTCCTACCTCTACTTGCTAGCTAAAAAAGGAAAACATATAAAAAGAGTTCTGAGATACCAAGGCAAAATTAAAGGAATTTTTCAATATGAAATAATCGTAATTCTAGTATACCTGTGCCTAATGACAGATGAATTAAAGTTTCTGGGCTCACATTCCTGTACTATGTCCATCAAAAAGATTAGAACCTACCCATGTCTGGGGCCATAACCCATTTTAATTAGTACAAAAGTAGTAATATTCAAAGGTTGTAGAACAGTCCAAGACAAGGTGAAAAAGAAACAGATGTAAAGACATCCTGGGTCATTAAATGCTTACAATCACCTTAGTCGATTTTACTACCCTAAAGCACATCAATCTATTTTTTAATGTCAAGATTAGTGGTGCCTCAGACAAGGCTGGAAAGGGGACACTGTGTTTGGAGGAGTATCATCATAAAACAAATTATGTTTTAGGAATGACCATCATAAGAAGAAGAGGTGCCAGAAATTATTCAAATCAAATATAGCTATGATTCAACTATTCTCTTCCTTACAGGTAATACTGCACTGAAGAACATAAATATGAAACTATGCCACTCATTTCATTCTGGCTGCTGCAGATCACCCCTTATCAGATAATCTCTGTAACCACTGGATCACCTGTTTGAAAAATTCCTCACGAGTTTTTTGGTTTTCTCTCCATATTGTAGGTAGTGATGTCGGTGTTGCATGGTTCCCCAAGTCAGGTACATCCTAAAAGAGACAATAAAGAAGCCAGACAAAGTAAAAGAAAGTCTCTTTGGATAGTTGCAATTGACAAAACATTAAAATGTGGAAGATTGTACAGTGGTACCTCGGGATACGAACTTAATCCGTTCCGTGACTCTGGGCGTATCCTGAGTTGGTCGTAACCCGAGGCAAATTTTTCCTGGCGAAGCTGGTCGTAACCCAAGATGTTCATTAGTAGAGGCGTTCGTATCCCGAGGTTCCACTGTACTAATAATTTCTTAGGGGTAAGTTCTAATGACCTCAGTAGAACTTCCTTCTGGGTAGCATGCACAGGCTTATACTAGAAATCTAGGACCTGTCCCTAAAATGTTAAGGGGAGTGGCCAGCAATATTATTTCTCACCTGAGGTTGGCTTTCCTCCTTGTAGTGAATCAGAGTCTGGTTGGCTTCTCCATATGGAATTAAGGTAAGGTGTTTCTCCACTCTTGCATGGATGCGGAAATACCACCACAGGAAACCAAGGCCCACTGCATAGAAGGAAGGGAGAAACAAGCAATGTCACAAACTCTCCACAACACGCTTCTCCAGCATTTTATTGGTTGCTAAAATTTTAGTTGAATCTCTTCCCAGCACGACTGTTTCAGCTGAAGGTTTTTCTTGGGCCATCACCTTCCTTTGTTTTCCTGCCTTTTCCTCCATCTTCTTTTATTATCATAAAACATACATTATGGGGATGGAGGGTGGGGAAGGGAGAATAGCTGCTTAAAGTCCTTTGATTGCTAGTTCCAGGAATCCTTGGAACCAGAGAAGAATGGTGGACCAAATTATTTCCTAAGGAGATGGGACAGCATGCTTTTTAAATCAGGATGAGGGTCTTTGACAATGGTTGCATCTAAGAAAAAGAGGGTAGTTGCTTCCACATGGCACCGAGTAAGGACACAGCCCACTCATAATATATGCTTGATCTAAGATTTACTATCAACCAACAGCATAACCAAAATAAATGATTCTCAGACGCTTCTGAGATTCCAGTCCAAGGATGAAAAGCAACAATCTGGCTTACTGAAAGGTAAAATTGCCAACAAAGAAGAGGGTTGAAGAGCCATTTGACTTTTTTTTTTAATATTTTCTTACTGAAATTATACAACATGCTTTATTATAATATGGTTTAATTGGGTGAACCCAGACATTAGGGATTGTATTGAGCATGACATAATAGCATTTCCCAGTAAACTGATGGTCTCACTGGAGTTGGGATAATCAAGTGGAAAACATGTATCAAATCAGCTCTCTCTGCACAATTACAGAATTTATACCCATAACAGGAAGAAGAATCTTTCGCAAAGTTCTCTATGCACAACT